TCGCCCCACTCGCCCCCCCTGGCTCCAAAGCCTACGTATATATATATATATATATATATATATATATATATATATATATTGCAAAGGATGTTTTGTTAAAATGGTGTATTTCGTCATTGGATTAATCACATTATTTAATTATCTTATCGCTTTCATTACAAGGGGGGTATAAAAAGAGGTTATAACCATCACCATATATATTTACAATTATAAACAAACAAACAAACAAAATAAACAATGTAAATATCCACGTCCCAAGCAAGCGTATCAAACGGCCCAGGCTTGGCGCTGCTCCGATTAACCTCGGGGGCACGTGCGGTAAAGTATCGTGGCGCCTGGCGTCAGCAAAGCCATGTATAAGCATAAAGAGACTGAAAACAAGAAATAAGTATAAATGCAATGAATTAAAAACATCTATGATATGTCACGCTATGCGAATTAGCGCATTCATAAAAGGCTTTCGTACTAACGAGGCGAGGGTCACAGTGTTCACTCGAACAAGTGGTGTGGCAAAGTGACCAGTTTTATGACAAAGAAAAACCAGGTGAGGCACACCTACGCGCATGCGCATTACAGTAAGGGGGTACGAGGAAACTTACTTTTATACAAAAACAAAAAATACTAAATATACATAATTAATCTGTATTTTACAATAGGGTTAATAATGTTTTCTCACTATAAACCCGATATGACAGTAAAATTAATTTATACAACATGGTAAATATACATGTATATATATATATATATATATATATATATATATATATATATATATATACATATATATATATATATATATACATATATATATATATATATATATATATATATATATATACATATATATATAGAATGCATATATATGTATATATATATATATATACATATATATGTATATATAATGTATATATACATATATATGTATATATAATGTATATATGCATATATATGTATATAGAATGCATATATATATATATATATATATATATATATATATATATATATATATATATATATATATATGCATGTATGTATGTATGTATGTATATATAATGTATATATACATATATATGTGTATGTATATACAATGCATATATATGCATATATACATACATATATATATACTTTTCTTTTTTTTTCTTTTTTTTTTGCAATAAACATAAAATAGAAGGACTTGCTCACTAGTGGTTCTTGGCCTTGCCCTTCCCTCCGAGCTTCTTCTTGTCCTTCCCTCGGTTCTTCTTCTCCTCCATCTCCCTCTGCTTCCTCTCCTTCTCCTCCTCCATCTCCCGCCTCTTCCTCTCCTCCTCTCGCTCCTTCCTCTCGTCCGAGCGCTGGGCTCTCCCGCCCCCTCTCTGGGCGCCCTTCTGGTTCTTCCTGTCCTCCTTCCTCTCCCTCTGCCTCAGCCTCTGCTTCTCGGCCCCCGAGGACTTCGAGCACTGCTCTTTCAACTGGCCAAGCAGCTGCTGGAGTCCGCTCGCGCCCACGACGGTCGTGGTCACCAGCTGCTGGTCGACGAGAGAGCTCCAGAAGCGAGGCAGATGCTCCACGAACTGGCTCTTCATGGGGCCCGGGCCGGCCACCACGATCCTCTTGTCCTCCGCGAGGAAGGCCCTCTCCATGCGCTCGTACACCGCCTTCAGGTGGTTGAGGCGGCTCTCGTCCGCCAGCCTGGCGAAGCGGTTCTGGGACTGGCCGCCGCGCCCGTGCTTGTTGGCCACGCCGAAACTCTTGTCGAACTTCACCTCGAACGAGGCCAGCGTCCCGAGTGCCAGGGTGTGGTGGTCGCCCTGGATCATACATATACATATATATATATATATATATATATATATATATATATATATATATATATATATATATATATATATATATATATATATATATATATATATTATATACATATAGCTATATGATTTCTTCAAATATATATTTTCGCTGATAAAATATTTGATTCTAGATTATTCTTGCACAAACACTGAATATATATGGCATCTGAACTAAGACCATAATACGATCTACAATAGGGAGGAAAATATTTTGACAAATTATCAGGCAGAACAACAACCTGCATTCAGAATACTCATTTAAGCCAATAAAGAAGATTCTGCATTTATTTTATCACCACTAGACACTTGGAGCTTGAAAAAAATCCTAGCTATTTTTCGCTGCCAGTTTAAACCACTACAATTCTTTTTAAATTTTCAGTTGACGCTGGCTCATATTATACAATTTTCTCTGAATTGTATGTGTGCGTGTGTGTGTGTGTGTGTGTGTGTGTGTGTGTGTGTGTGTGTGTGTGTGTGTGTGTGTGTGTGTGTGTGTGTGTGTGTGTGTGTGTGTGTGTGTGTGTGTGTGTGTGTGTGTGTGTGGGTCCCTCTGCTTCCTCTCCTTCTCCTCCTCCATCTCCCTCTGCTTCCTCTCCTTCTCCTCCTCCATCTCCCTCTGCTTCCTCTCCTTCTCCTCCTCCATCTCCCTCTGCTTCCTCTCCTTCTCCTCC